TTTATTAAGAAGAAGGGAGGGAATCTTTCTCTTGCAGGGGTACAGTGACCATCTTGGTGACTAATGGGAAGAATCAGACAGTTAACACCTTTGTTTTGAGCTCCTGATCTGATAAGTCAATTTAAAAAGCGGTTGAGCAGACAAATGACAGCATCGTGGAAAATGATGTTGCTTCTCCATAGCTATCCTCTGACCATCACCTGCCTGGAGAATGTATCTGTCTCTCATGGAAAAGAAAGACAAGAACTGGGAAGGAACAAATTCAAGTGGGTTTTAGCATAGCAAGAGAACACTGTCCTTCAGTCTGATCATTTCAGGGTGGCAGGGTATTTTTGTACTACTGGAGAGGAAAGAAAATGTCATGGGTGGTAAATTGTGGGTGTAGGTTATATAAATGTAAGGACAAAACCTAGATACAGGGATAGGCTCTTAGAGCTTGGCTCAATTGTATACCTCACAAAGATGACTATGTCACATTAGGTTATGAAAACATTAATAAATGTTTTCCTGAGCCTCCTCCTACTACTTATTCAAGCTGACTTAAGGAAGAACATCTATGAAAAACAATGTTTAAATACCCCTGACATTTTTCCTTTTCATTCCTTTTCCCAGTGAATTTTAAAAGTAGATGTTCTGATGAAGCCAATGGTAAAACATACAGCAAATCTTTTGCATATGATGGTTGAAGCTAAGTGGAATACACAAGTTCAATTCTTTGTATGCATCTTCCTGTGCTCTGTAATTCACCATAGCAACCAAAGCATTAATTAATGCAGACAGCAAACATTAGAAAACAGCAGCTAGCTCATGCTGTATAGAGATATACAAGGATAATCAAGGGTAATATCTTATTTTGTTAAAAAATAAAAAAATTAATATATAGGATTTCTGGAAATCATTATTTCTTTCAAAAATTTTTATCTTAAGTTTGGGGGTACATGTGAAAGTTTGTTACATAAGCACATGTCATGGCGGTTTGTCATACATATTATTACATCACCCAGTTATTAAACTCAGGACCCAATAGTTATCTTTTCTGTTCCTCTCCCTCCTTTCACCTTTCCTGCTCAAGTAGACCCCAGTGTCTGCTGTTTCCTTCTTTGTGTTCCTTAGTTCTTATCATTTAGCTCCAACTTGCAAGTGAGAACATGCAGTATTTGGTTTTCTCTTCCTGCGTTAGTTTGCTAAGGGTGATAGCCTCCAGCTCCATCCATATTCCCACAAAAGGCATAATCTCATTTTTTTAATGGCTGCCTAATATTCCATGGTGTATATGCACATTTTCTTTATCCAGTCTGTCATTGGTGGGCATTTAGGTTGATTCCATGTCTTAGCTATTGTGCACAGTGCTGCAATGAACATTCGTGTGCATGTGTCTTTTTTTTTTTTTTTTTGAGACAGAGTTTCGCTCAGTGCCCAGGCTGGAATACAATGGTACAATCTTGGCTCACTGCAACCTCTGTCTCCCAGGTTCAAGCAGTTCTCCTGTCTCAGCCTCCCAAGCAGCTGAGATTACAGGCCTGCACCACTATGCCCCCGCTAATTCTGTATTTTTAGTAGAGACGAGGTTTCATTACGTTGGTCAGGCTGGTCTTAAACTCCTGACCTCAGGTGATCCACCCACTTTGGCCTCCCAAAGTGCTGAGATTACAGGCATGAGCCACCCCACCTGGCCATGCATGTGTCTTTTTTTTTTTTTTTTTTTTTGAGAGGAAGTCTCACTCTGTCACCTAGGCTGGAGTGCAGTGGAGTGATCTTGGCTCATCACAATCTCCGCCTCCCGGGTTCAAGTAATTCTGCTGCCTCAGCCTCCCAAGTAGCTCGGATTACAGGCAGCTGCCATCATGCCTGGCTAATTGTTTTTATTTTTAGTAGAGACCAGGTTTCACCATGTTGGCCAGGCTGGTTTCAAACTACTGACCTCAGGTGATCCACCTGCCTCAGCCTCCCAAAGTGCTGGGATTACAGGCGTGAGTCACCGCATCCAGCTGCATGTGTCTTTATGGTAGAATTTGAGTTATATTCCTCTGGTATATACCCAGTAATGGGATTGCTGGGTCAAATGGTAGTTGTGTTTTTAAATCTTTGAGGAACTGCCATACTGCTTTCCACAATGGTTGAACTAATTTACACACCCACCAACAGGGTATAAGGGTTCTCTTTTCTCTGCAACCTCGCCAGGATCTGTTATTTTTGACTTTCTTTTTTTTTTTTTTTCCCCGAGGTAGAGTCTTGCTCTGTCGCCCAGAGCTGGAGTGAAATGGTGTAATCTCGGCTCACTGCAACCTCCGCTTCCCAGGTTCAAGACATTCTCCTGCCTCAGCCTCCCGAGTAGCTGGGATTACAGGCACACGCCACCAGGCCTGGCTAATTTTTGTATTTTTAGTAGAGAAGGGGTTTCACCATGTTGCCCGGGCTGGTCTCGAACTCCTGACCTTGTGATCTGCCCACCTTGGCCTCCCAAATTGCTGGGATTACAGGCATGCTCCACCACACCCAGCCTATTTTTTGACTTTTTAATGACAGCCATTCTGACTGGTGTGAGATGGTATCTCACCATGGTTTTGATTTGCATTTCTCTAATGATCAGTGATATTGAGCTTTTTTTCATAGGCTTGTTGGCTGCATGTATGTCTTCTTTTGAGAAGCAGCTGTTCATGTCCTTTGCCCACTTTTTTTTTTTTTTTTTCGTGACAGGGTTTCACTCTTGTTGCCCAGGCTGGAGTGCAATGGCACAATCTTGGCTCATGGCAACCTCCACCTCCCAGGTTCAAGCGACTCTCCTGCCTCAGCCTTCCGTGGCACGATTACAGGTGCCAGCCACCACTCCTGGCTAATTTTTTGTATTTTTAGCAGAAATGGGGTTTCACCATGTTGGCTAGGCTGGTCTCGAATTCCTGACCTTAGGTGATCCACCTGCCTTGGCCTCCCACATTTTAATGGGGTTGTTTTTCTCTTGTAAATTTGTTTAAGTTCTTTATAGATGCTGGATATTAGACCTTTCTCAGATGCATAGTTTGCAAATATTTTCTCCCATTCTGTAGACTGTCTGTTTATTCTGTTGATAGTTTCTTTAGCTGTGCAATAGCTCTTGTTTAATTAGATCCCATTTGTCAATTTTTGCTTTTGTTGTGATTGCTTTTGGCATCTTTGACATGAAATCTTAACCTGTTCCTAGGTCCAGAATGGTATTACCTAGTTTGTCTTCCAGGGTTTTTATAGTTTTGGGTTTTACGTTTGTCTTTAATCCATCTTGAGTTGAAATTTTTGAATATGGTATAAGGAAGGGGTCCAGCTTCAGTCTTTTGCATATGGCTAGTCAGTTATCCCAGCACCATTTATTGAATGAGTCTTTTCCCCATTGCTTGTTTTTGTCAGCCTTGTCAAAGATCAGATGGTTGTAGATGTGACGCCTTACTTCTGGGCTCTCTATTTTGTTCCACTGGTCTGTGTGCCTGTTTTTATACCCATACCATGCTGTTTTGGTCACTGTAGCCTTGTAGTACAGTTGGAAGTTGGGTAATGTGATTCTTCTAGCTTTGTTCTTTTTGCTTAGGATTGCCTTGGCTATGTGGGCTCTTTTTTGGTTCCACATGAATTTTAAAATAATTTTTTCTAGTTCTGTGAAGAATGTTGGTAGTTAGATAGGAATAGCATTGAATCTGTAAACTGTTTTGGGCAGTATAGCCATTTTAATGATATTGATTCTTCCTATCCATGAGCATGGGATGTTTTTCCATTTGTTTGTGGCTTCTCTGATTTCTTTGAACAGTGTTTTATAATTCTCACTGTAGAGCTCTTTCACTTCCCTGTTTAGCTGTATTCCTAGGTATTTTATTTTTTTGGTGGCAGTTGTGAATGGGATTGCCTTTCTGATTTGGCTTTCAGCTTGGCTGTTGTTGCTGTATAGGAATGCTAGTGATTTTTGTACATTGACTTGTATCCTGCAACTTTGCAGAAGTTGTTTATCAGCTGAAGGAGCTTTGGAGCTGAGACTATGGGGTTTTCTAGATATAGAATCATGTCGTCTAAAAACAGATAGTTTGACTTCCTATCTTCCTACTTGGATGCACTTTATTTCTTTCTCTTGCCTGATTGCCCTCACTAGGACTTCCAATACTTTGTTGAATAGAAGTGGCGAGAGAGGGCATCCTTGTCTTGTGCTGGTTTTCAAGGGGAATGTTTCCAGCTTTTGCCCATTCAGTATGATGTTGGTTGTGGGTTTGTCATAGAAGGCTTTTTTTTTTTTTGAGACGGAGTCTTGCTCTGTCCCCCAGGCTGGAGTGCAGTGGCTCGATCTTGGGTCACTGCAAGCTTCGCCTCCCAGGTTCATGCCATTCTCCTGTCTTGGCCTCCCCAGTAGCTGGGACTACAGCCACCCACCACCATACCTGGCTAATTTTTTGTATTTTTAGTAGAGACAGGGTTTCACCATGTTAGCCAGGATGGGCTTTATCTCCTGACCTCGTCGTGATCCACTCGCCTCAGCCTCCCAGAGTGTTGGGAATAGATGGCTCTTATTATTTTGAGGCATGTTCCTTCAATACCAAGTTTGTCGAGAGTTTTTTTTTTTTTTTTCTTTTTATGGAGTCTCACCCTGTTGCCCAGGCTGGAGTGCAGTGGCGCAGTCTTGGCTCACTACAACCTCTGCCTCCGGGGTTCAGGCGATTTTCCTGCCTCAGCCTCCCGAGTAGCTGGGACCACAGGCGCCTGCCACCGCACCTGCCACCACATCCGGCTAATTTTTGTATTTTTTTAGTAGAGATGCAGTTTTACTACATTGGCCTTGAACTCCTGACCTTGTGATCTGCCCACCTCAGCCTCCCAAAGTGCTGGGATTACAGGCATGAGCCACATTGCCCGCCTTACTGAGAATTTTTAACATTATTTTTATATGTGGTTAAGTTAGGTGGAAACACAAACTTTCAAAAGGCAACATTTTATCTATTTTGTGGAGCATTACACTTATGGCTAAAATTGTAATTTTTGAACATATTTACAAATGATACGGTTCTTATGAGCATTTACTACAAAAAAAAGGTCAATGGAAAAGGACTGCTGCTTCACAGAAACAAAAAATAAGCTGTAGTGACAAGATTCTACTACATTTGTGTAAACATGAAAAGTACTTCCTTTTTGAATTGACTGATTCTGGAATGCATGATCATATAGCTCCATTTCCTCACCAAATGAAAAAGTTGCTTGCCTTTATCAGAGACAAGAGGCAATTCTAGAGTGAGAAAAAAAAATTAGCTTGAAAAACAGGGTATGCAAGAATCCCATCTGCAGAATGATCAAATCCAATTTGTGGATATAGCTATACTGCCAAACAGCTTAAACACTAATTTAACAGCTAGGGCTAAAAAAATTTTCACCAGTGTTTTCGTTTTGCAAAGTTGTGTTCTTGCCACATTTCCTTTGATATTTTCTATTATTATAGCAACAATAAAACCTAGAGTTTCTATTATGATGAGACAAATAATAATAAATATCACTATAATCAAGGACTCTTTTCAATACAATACATGGCCAAGAAAGTGGCTAGAGCTGATAGTGTGGCCAAGTGAATGCAGAGCCAGAAAGTTTTATAGGAGGATTGTTTATGAACTTTAAAAGTCTAAATTTTCTATAGCATCAATTAAATTTATTCTCTGGTTTAAATTTTCCAACTATAAATATTGGCATATCAACTAGAAGAGATGCCTATAGAATTTATTGAACATCTACTATTTGTAAATCACTGTGTTAAATGTTGTGAAAACCCTGAAGATTAACAAAACGTAGTATTTACTTCAAGATTACAATACCTAATGCAATAACTAGTGAGAAGGATAGATATGTAACTAACTAACTACTGTCTCAATATCCAGAGGTAACGACTATTAACAACTTCTTGATTATTGTTTCAGAAATAGTTACTGTAGGCAGGGCATGGTGGCTCATGCCAGTAATCCAAGCACTTTGGGAGGCTGAGGCAGGCAGATTGCTTGAGTTCAGGAGTTTGAGACAAGCCTAGGCAACGTGGCAAAACCTTGTCTCTATAAAAATGCAAAAATTAGCTAGGTACTGTGGCATGTGTCTGTAGTCCCAGCTACTTACGAGAACAAGGTGGGATGGCTTGAGCCCAAAAGGCGGAGTTTGCAGTAAGCTGAAATCATGCCACTGCTCTCCAGTCTGCACTACAGAGCCAGACCCTGTCTCAAAACAAACAAAAAAGAGAGTTACTGTATTTATACATATATGTGCTTGTAAAAATATATTATGTATATAAAATATACATACATATGTATAGTCAAGCACATATTTATACACATGTACACTTTTTTTGTTTTGTTTTGTTTTGAGACGGAGTCTTGCTCTATCACCCAGGCTGGTGTGTAATGGCACAATCTCGGCTCACTGCAATCTCCACCTCCCTGGTTCAAGTGATTCTCCTCACTCAGCCTCCCGAGTAGCTGGGACTACAGGTGCATGCCACCATGCCTGGCTAATTTTTGCATTTTTAGTAGAGATGGGGTTTCACCATGTTGGCCAGGCCGGTCTCGAACTCCTGACTTCAAATAATAGCCCACCTCGGCCTCCCAAAGTGCTGGGATTACAGGCATGAGCCACTGCACCCAGGATTCTACAGTTTTTTTACCCAAAAGAAATGTTATGGCTGGGCACAGTGGCTCACACCTGCAATCCCAGCACTTTGGGAGGTCGAGGTGGGTGGATCATGAGGTCAGGAGTTTGAGACCAGCCTGACCAACATGGTAAGACTCCATCTCTACTAAGCTACTCAGGAGGCTGAGGCAGGAGAATCTTGAACCCAGGAGGCTGGGATTGCGGTGAGCCAAGATGGTACCACTCCAGCCTGGGCGACAGAGCAAGACTCTGTCTCAAAAAAAAAGAAAAGAAATGTTATAACATTCTGCTTTTCTATCCAATATATCTTAGAAAGCTTTGCATATCACCCATGAAGAGTTATGTCATTAAAAAAAAAAGAGGCTTGGCGCAGTGGCTCAAGCCTGTAATCCCAGCACTTTGGGAGGCTGAGACGGGAGGATCATGAGGTCAGGAGATCGAGACCACCCTGGCTAACACAGTGAAACCTTGTCTCTACTAAAAAATACAAAAAACTAGCCGGGCGAGGTGGCAGGCGCCTGTAGTCCCAGCTACTCGGGAGGCTGAGGCAGGAGAATGGCGTAAAC